GGGGCGATTGATCGCGTTTGAAATATTGTCACATAATAAGGGACTTTTCATCGCATCGAGACAGACTCCGGGCAAAAGCGTATTATTCTGATACTACAAAAAATTCTCTAAAGGCTGATATGCTTTTCGTGCCTCCAGCGAGTTATATGCCTGATAAAAATGAAGGCGAAAGGCGAGTGTGAAACATAATTTTGTTCTGGATTTTGAATCACTATAAAGACGTTATAAGAAATCGGCGAATTGGGTTGTAGCCAGAGATTTGAGCTTTCTAATGAATACTAACAATCATATAAAAACTCCCTGTCCAGAAAATGAGATTGCTTATCAATTTATCGCCGTTTACCATATAAGTTCCAGGTATAGTTTATGTTTTGGAACTATATTCATTTTAATAACATATTTTGAGCCTCCCATGAGGTCTGCTGCTGCACTTACAGGACATGTGTTTAATTATCGGCATTACAGCCTCGTCATTTGCATGGTGCCTTCCAATTCAGTCAGTACCACGGGAGATATGCTCTGTTTAGAGGAGCCGAATCGAGGTCTCAGAAATTCTCGAAAGGTAGGACATATGTGGCTCACTAACCACGAGCAGTCTAGTGTATAACTTCGCCCGTTCGGTAATTTTTCACTTTGCAGCACTTGTATATATTTTGGCGTCGGTCCCGCTATATAGAGGATATCTCCGGGCCGAACTGACTAAACCGAAATGCAAGGTGCAACTGACGAGGCCGGAAGGCTGAAACACATGTCTTACACTGTATACGTGCCATAACAGACCTCATGAAAAGCTAAAAATATGCTATCACATTATATTGTTTCGGGCGAGGTCTCAAAAAAGGTATATTCACTTTTTTGAATAACAAATAGTGCGTGACAACATTCTCATCCTTGGATTTGGTCACATGTTTCCTGATTGTTCTGTCGACTTAATGAAGGAGCGCCTGTCCCTCAGAAAAAATCCGAGTGGCAAGGCACAAAATTTATCCCGCGTCGCAAGAACGTTCTAATGCGACTGTCTTTTTTTTCCTAAAAAAATATACCAATGTCTAGTATTCATTATATCACGGAGTAGAAAAGGCGATAGAATCAATAATCACAAGCGAATTCTTCGAAGACCAGGTCATCCCTAAACTCTGTTGATGGCCCAGGATATCTTCTGATTAACAGAAGCGAGGTTATAATAGTAGTTTTATTGAATTCAATTCAATACAGAATACAATTCAGTACAGTGAAATAACTAACGCTTCCGAGATACCTCCTTTGAAAACTGGAATGGTTAAACTGATTTCTAATCTGCATAGTCAAATATTTTGTAGTATCAGCAAAAAAAAACGTGATATACAAACTTTTGTTCACAAAGTGAACAGCTTTTTTTTTTTGAAAACACTGTTTTTTCCGAGATAAGCCGCACAGAGTAGTACATAAAGTAGGAACTTGCCTAGCTCATTTAAGAAAGCACGTATAGCAAACCTCCCAAGGGAGTCTTCTGTGCTTACCTCAGTGGAAAAAAGAGCGGGAACAACGAGGCCTTATTTTCACTGGACCTTTCGTGTAAGGGCGTTGCTTTCCTCCCAAATCTAACCCGATTAGCTCTCACCATTTCGCAGCCATTATAAACTGATATCTTTTGTTTCAAATCTGCGGATTTTCCTTATGATCTCATCTGTGCACTTGTCAACTGTTACGAACACATTTCCTACAAATACGGGCTTTGTGTGTAAGGATGGATAAGAGGAAAGAAGATCGACTAGTATGCTTTGATTACTTGGCTTTCAAAACCACTTTGTTTTGTAGCCGCTGTCGGATAAGATGAAGTGAACGTTCAAAAATGGAAGATGTTCCTCTGTGCTTTTCGTCATGTGAAGTCTGAATACTCTGACTGTTTATTCAACGACTCAGAACATTTCCCCATCTCTTCTGTGGAACAGATGACAGAGCAACCATCTATATAATCCGACGGAGTAGTGACTTCAGGCACTTTTTTGGAAAGGCCATGCGGAATCGCAAAGCTGTCCTTTTGAGGACCAGCACTGATAGCAAGGCGGCGTCGCGTAGTCGCTTCTCAGGAGACGCGACGCCCCATTATCTGTGAAAGCATGTCTGGCTGTCTGCCTGCCTTCCCACGGGACGCGTCGCCGCCATTGCAGCACCTGAGTGGGATTTGCCGTCACGCGGTGAAAAGCAAAATGACTCTTATGGTCCTCAAAGGGCTATACATGTTTATAGCTCTTTCGTGGCGCGTAAGCTCGCGGATGGCTTGCATTGTGGATTTATTAGGCACATTGGTATATAGGGCGGTCACGTCGAAAGATCTATCACGTACGCGTTGTTTAGATACGTGTTACCTAGCCGGTCAAGGAACATTTGAGTGTCTGAGAGATGGGCCTAGACATGATGACTGATAGTTTTAAACCAGTCGAGCTTGCCACTCTAGTCCATTCCCTGTTCAGTTTATGACTTTTAATTTCCTTTTAGATGATGGGAGATAAAGAGATGTACCTTCACGGTGCTTCTAAGACTTTGTACGATTAGTCTACGAGTATAGATAGTATGTTCTCTACTTCTTATTATATGAAACTTTGGCCCACCATATAAACATATTACTGCGAGCATTTGTGACAACTTTCTGTTTGAGAAAAGGTCCGAAAATTTAACGTAAACCAAAAATTCATTTACAGGCTAGACTGTATCCAGAACGATAGATTTCAACGCAGTGAGAATAGATGAACCTTTCCAGTTCGCGAGGGATGGTATAGCACAGTGCCTCGATGCTGCACTCAAGGCTCATCAAGCCCTCAATTTCTCCGGAATCAGCATTTTGGTACGAGACATGTTTGGTATGGTACAGCACCGATTTGATACATTGCGACACGCCAGTGCAAGTAATTCTACGGACTAGATGAGCATTGGTTCACCTCGAAGACATCTGGTGAATTTGAAGGTGTGGTCCATCCCCCAGAATGATCAATGTCAAGCATTTTATCAACTAAGCTTCATCCTGTTGGCAATAAATGTTCATACTCCAATGGCTCCTTTTCGATTGATGAAAGTTACTCTGAACTGAGATATGTCACTTAGAAAATGCATTTCAAATTCCGCATTAATTTCCGAACAGCCTAATGATTACTCAGGATTGACTGTATTCCTGAGTTGTTGATGTCTGAGCATTACCATAATTAGATGACACAGTGACAGGATGGATCAACAATACTGGTCTCATGAGTGGCTCATCAGAATACACAACAAATTTATAAAAACACGAGCTTAGAAATGTCGAGCGGACTCTCACTGATACAGGTTGGGTTTTATTTACTATCAACATTACACGAAGACTATTATACCACACAAGTACAGCCGTATAATCTGTATTCATGTTAGATCTAGCCCAAGATCGCGGGAAGCTAGGTGGAGAAAAGGTTTAAAGACTTAGAGAGTTCCAAAAAAAATCGAGACTATGGGTGTATTCCTATTTTCATAACCATAATCAACAGCAAACCTTTCTTTTCTAGCGCTTGGTCTCTCCGCACGGCTGTTCACAGAGTCGAGCGTCGTCTACCAAATGTTCACTCGTAAGAAATGATGAATGACTTCTCACACTCTCTCCCTTCCTCGCTGTCTTTGCAAGCTTCTGCCTTTCTGATCGCTGCTTAAAATAATTTTTCGCAGACAGTGACCAGTGATTTAAGATCAACTTTTTAGAGTTAAAAAACAGTCTTCAAATAGTAGAATATAATAGCTGTCCTAGAAAAATTTTCTAGACTTTTCAGAAAAGAGTCAAGTTTAATTTCAAATAAACCACTACCAAATCGCACTTCAAAACTTCCCACTGTTAGACATGCCTTGAGTTCAGTGATTGGTTAACTCTTTGCGGACGATGAGAGTTAAATAAACCATGCTCAAGATTTAAGGTCGCACATCACAGAATTCAAAGAACAAGTGTTTTTGTGTTTTTTCTCAAGCATGTATCAAAGGTCACGTTCGAACAAAAATTAGGAAAAAGCGATGGGTGTTAAGCAATCTCTTATGAATGTGTGAAGCATTAAGTTTCATCAAGCATTGTTAGAAGTGAATGAATGTATATCGGCTCTTACAATGGTCTGTGATGCCTACCAATGTATCAAGTTTGTGAAGCTATCCCTGCGAAGAAATCTGGTAGCAGTTTGTCAGCTCTGGACCGAAGGAGGAGATAGTGGATTCGGGGCGCGAATATCAAGCCAAAGACTTCTGCTGTATCGTTCTAAACTCCTAGCCAGTTTGCAGAAATAAAAACAAGCCAAATAGCAAATTGGCAGCTTGAGAAAAGAGATTATCAGCCCACAACATGAAAAATGATGGCGACTTGAGATTGACTTCATTCTCACATATCAATATGTTTGGTTCAACATATAGGAAAAGAATTCGAATAAGATTGATGGTTGGTTTGCTTTTGTTCAATCCTCTATGTGGGTGACATAGCAGCGGATGGTCGTGAGTCATCGTTCTGCTAACTGACAGGAACGATGTTGAAGATTTCGTAATCTCTTCTGGGTCACAGCTTGAATAAATTTGATAGGACTTTGAATTTTGAACGGAGTGGGAAAGATTTGGACGTCTCCTCAAAAAAAGTCACTCCTTACTTTTAGTATTTTCTCTGTGATCCTATGAGAGTTCTTTTTGATGGCATAACCTTTAAGGTTCAACTGGACTTTGATTAGAGTTTGATTTCCTCATATAACTCTTTACACATGTAAGATGGAAGTACTTTCAGCCATCATACAGAATTGTAGTAGGAATATGACAATGAAACGGTGAAAATAAACTTTATTAGACTTCTAAATCAGTACTGAAGTCAAGAATACTGGTTCGGCGGTTGTTTTCGAGTAGAAATTAAACTTTTTGAAAGAGTGTCTTGAGAATTGCAAACACAGTAATGAATACTCGAAGTATTTTTTAATGCATTTCGCAGTGTTATGATGTTTTCTATATACCTAAGAGAATTGAGTGGTGAGCAAAAACGCGGCCTCAGCCGGGAATCGAACCCGTGTTTCATTCTATCCGAGTACGTGTGCACTACCACTACACCACCGAGGCACATTTGCCCGACCACTCATTCTTCAACATCTCAATGTTAGCTATCAGCCACCAACCTTTGACAAATGTGCCTCGGTGGTGTAGCGGTAGAGCTCGCGTCCCCGGATAGGATGAAACGCGGGTTCGGTTTCCGCCTGAGGCCGCGTTTTTGCTCACCACTGATTTCTCTACAGTAATGAGTTTTCATATAGGAACGGTAATTCACCAAAACACGGAAAAGAATTTCGCCAAGTGAACATGGCGCTCGGAAAATGTAGGGATGCTCTCTCGCCTACTTCTAATTGATTTCTGATTTTTCTAAATTTTTTCCTAATAATTTCTGATACAGATGTCTGATTCAGTGGCGATTGCATAACCTGAATCTTTCCAGTTCACACTGTTGTCCTCCTAGGTTGCAATCACATCCGTCTAGTCTGTTTTGTCCAGCCTATCTATCAGGTGATGTGTTCCAATCTGTCATGATTACTGTCTTTTTCTAAACTGTGTTTTCAAATGCACAGACTTTCTGATGGTTGGATCGGACGATCGTGTACTTAACCATGATCTTATTTAAACTTCCTTAGTGGAAAACGATCTAGGCTTTTTGATTGTGAAGCTATTTTTACCTTAAGACTTGTACAATTTGCCTGATCATGAGGTATACGTCGAAAACCTCGTAGCTACGTAATTTGGATCGAAGCTTACGCAGCTAATCGAACGCTCTGTCAGCAGGTGGTGCTAAAGTATCTCGTATCACGCAAGTGAAATGAGGAATCCAAAGCGGCGATCGACATTAACGATCGAAAATCAGAAATGTTGTTGGATAAGACAGGATACTGAGGATGAGAGAGGATGAGCACGTGGTGCGCCCTTGCGGCAACTGGACAAAAGCGTATGGGCTACGTAATATGAGCAACTAGGAAAACGTGCTACTGGACGATCAGATTTTTTCAAAAACGTAGTTGATATAAAACTATGATGCTTTTTATGCCTATCGAATAAGTCGAATCCTTCCGCCAACTCTAGAACTTGTGAGGATGAATGAATATTCTGCTCAAAGACTGGAACGCCGTGATTTTTTGTATGTTCTAGGCAACATTATCTACTAATACAAGCCTCTTTTTGAGGCTGATTGTCGAAAATTAAGGTTTCGAATATTGGTGAGCTAGAAAAAGCCGCCAATAGTCGTTGAAGATTTTAAAGACGAATTTTTGCAAATAATATAAGCTATATGCCTATGATATAAAATGTTGTTGGCTTATGATATAATATGCTTTGTGATATATGCTTATAACATGATGCTATATGCTTATGGCATAATATGACTGCTACATAATATAATTATAATATACGAAGAAATCACAATTCTCTATTCACCCGCTATCTGTATTATTTGACATGCTGTTGACCGCTGAGTGAATCAAGCGGGCACGAGGAAAGCTTCCGTTTTTCCTTATCGCGTACAACCCAAGTTTCCTCTTCGCTTCAAGGATTCGTAGAAAATCATGTCTTTCTTCGAGCCTTTTCGTGAATAAATCGAACCATCACTTCGGTCATCTGCGCACTGTGCGCTTAACATACCGACGAATTCAGAGGGTAACAGTTCCTATCCGTCGTCGCTAAAGCGTACTACATCTGGCTCACTTTATCTTCAATAGTGTGACATGGCGTTCCTTGCCTTTGGATCTGTTGACGTAGCTCAAACTTCACATCCTTCTCCTCATTTGCGAGACACGGATTATTCCTAGATACCAACTTTTCGACTGCAGGTTCAACAACGCCTTTCATCCCACCTACGTAACAACCAGGTATCTGATGCATATGTTGAGGCATGGATTGCCGTTGAGACGAAAAGCAAGGAACCGAATGTTTTTTGTTATTCTCACTACATCCTCGATTCTTCCAACTTTTCTAGAAGCCGCTCGATTCCTCCTGTTCAACTCTGAAGCTAGGTCGTTCATCATGTTGACTGCAGTGATCAACATAGACGTAAGTAGAGCACTCGCAGACATCACTTCCGTTGTGCGTGAATAGGGCATTCAAAATTCGTTCTTCATTAATATAAATTTCGTGAGAATTAGTTGGAGAATAATCTCTCTACACCTGTGGCACATGTCGTCCCGTTGATCGTCGAGTGACTCGAGTAGGTACCACCAACACTTCCATTTTTCCTATCGCATGCAAGAGTAGTCCAGTGGGTCCTCCTGATCTAGGGATTCGCTGAGCATCATATCTCTCCACACGATTGCCGTAAAATCAGTCAATGTTCACTCCAGCTTAATGATGCTTAGCGTAGAAGGACGATGCCATCAGGAAAACCAAGATGGTGCAATAATTTGAAAAGCGACTTTCCTTAGATTTCGACTTTACTGATCAATCATATATTCTTTGTTGATAAGGCCAAGGGCACAAAGTCGATAAAAATCAATCTATCGGCTAACGATTCAGTGTCTTGATCTTCTTCAAAGCCGGTGATTTGTGTCAAAATCTCTACAGTCGCAGACGAAGACCACAACGAAGAGGAACGACTGTTAAGAACCAGCGCAAATCATCGGCTTTAACATGTTGACACGCCGATGTGCGGTGGCGCGGAGCGGAGGGAGCCTTCATTATCACGCCTTGCAATGGAAATATGCGACTTTGTCTGGTGATCTGAGGTATGAGGATAGTGTAATTCTCGACGTTCAAGTCTCAGTTTGATATTGACCCATTCTCATATTTGCGTGGAATCTTGAAGGGTGGCAGTGAATAATTTTGGTAAGAGGTTTTATCAATCTCCCTTTTTATGTCAACAAGAATAACGTTGAAGAGTGATAAGATTTTGGTTTGACTTGTTATATTCCTGATCGTATTGAATAGGAACGCTTTAAATGTCGAGGATTTCTATGGTGCTCGGTTTTAACAGATTTCAAGGCATTTTTCAAATCGATGAAAGTGAAGTAGAGCGGTCTCTTTACTCTCATGAAACTTCGATGAATCTTGTTATCGTATGGATGGAATCTATAATGCTAGATTATTTTTGAAATCCTGATTGTTTGCACGGCCATCGTTCGTCCAGTGTTCTGTCTACCGTATTTGGTGAAGTGACCCAATTGCTTGTAGACAACAGACAGCAAGCAGATTAGGGCGTAGCTGCCGATTTCGTAAAGGTCTTCTTTTTTTAACGATAACACGGTCTTGCTGGTTATCCATTGGATATGAACCTTGCATTCTCACAGGTGATGTGTGAAGAGCCGAGCCAGTATGTAGGTGGGAAGTGGTGGAAGGATTTCATAGGTGTTCGGTCTTATCCTGTCTAAAATAGGTGTTGTTCGATTCTTTACACGAAACAGCATGGGGTTTCGAGAAGAAGAGCATTGATATAACCTCTCTATTTTATTCTATATGTCGGTAAGAGGGTGAGGCTATTAAATAGATCTCACTGGTAGTCGTAGATGACTTTAGTCATCGCCTTTCTGAAGATTGCAACTGTTCCGTCAGGGCGTCGAAGTCTAATCATTTTGGTCTTAAATTGACGACGCTTCGAAGACTTTTGCGAAATGCTCTTCTCAGTTTCTGCAGCTTCGGCCATAACTACTACTTTTCTCTTTGGGATCTGTACAACAATTCTCTGCAGCGCTTTGCATGCTGGGGCTTGGGTTGGCCGTTGCCTGTGACTCGTCGAACTCCAGGGTGGCGTATCAGCTCGAGCGTTCTAATGACAAATTTTCTTGGTGATTGTCGGACTCTCGGCTTACGTAGTACCAACGTGAAGATGTTAGATGAGTCGGACGTTATCTTCGTCAACGTTGTTTATGACGACATCTTCTTAAGAGCCGACACAATGATTCAAAACATCCCAGCGTATGGTAGTTCTGGTATTACGTAGCTTGAATGCAATAGTCTGATCCCGTATGGATTTTAAAACAACAGCGATATCGGTTAAGCACAGCCTTCGATTTACTAACATGCGGTTTCTCTCGTTATAGTACTCTTTACTGGAAGGCTCTCAGACTGACCGCTGAGAGCGGTGCTTCTAAAATTATGGTTGCCAGGATCGTTTTGATAGTTATGATAAACTCAGACAGCCTGTATCCTCTTCGTTCTACTCAGTCCGTAGATCCCAATGAGACATTTTCAAGCCGCTCCATTGAGTCTAAATTTCGCGATAATATCATAGATCTCGAAGAATGTATGATTTTCTTGGAAGGACCTTCCAGGTCCATAGAAAACGCTTCGACTACGTCTTTGCCGTAGCTTGATGGTGATGAGTAACCACGAAAATGGCCACTCCTGGCATTGGACCATATCTTTTCAACCGCATGCGTTTGACCAGGGTTGTTTGTTTTCTGAAGAGACGTACATGTTGAAACTTGATCGTCAAAAAATTTACTTTCTTGCCTGCGTTATTACACCCTCGTTTCGTATACAGGTGTACGTGCGTTGTAGGTGCAGATTACCACCTTAGTCAGCTGCGATTTTGACAGCCTAGTAAGTGTGAGACCTTGAGAATTTAGCAGGCTCTTCATACTTCTTCCTCCAAACGCTGCCATATCTGTTGCGCTTTCAGAGTGAGAGGTAGGAGGCCCGTTTTCTTTACTAAACTTGGCTTTTTATACTCAACGTGTAGCTTACTAAACTTCAAATTTGCTTGCTGGGTACTGAAGTATAGCTGCCAGTCTCTGCCGGATGGACAGAGTAAAGCATATTTTATGATGACGACTTATAATCACCTCCTATGTGCTTCCCAGCCCCATAATTGCAATTTCGGTTAGTTACTCATGAAAGGTGTATGTCAATTTGGCGCTGGAGAAACTGGTAAAGCTGTCTGAATCGACCTGTGTCTCAGGGAAACACATGGTCACATTCGGTCCTGTTTATTCCCTATCTGCCACCCGTGGAAATCCTTCTTCAAAACAAAATACCAGACCAAACTAACAAAATTCCGTAACAAGTAGGAGTTTTGTATTGTTAGTTGGGCAGCAAACGGACTTACCCTGTCAACGGTCATAATTCACTGATCGCATAAACACATTTTGCAACCTTTTTATTAAATGTGAAGTACGTCATTTTCTACACAATGGAGAATTAATGCAGCTAACAACACTTAACCAACCGCTTGGTGTCGAAGCTGTAGCGAATGAAAGCAAACCGCAATGTGAGACATTGCAATCGTCCCCGGTC